TTCCTTCTTTCAGCTACACTATTCTCTGCTGCTGTGTAAGGATTTGTACGTCTGTGTCTTATCCCCAACTGCCCCAACCATTTTTGGAATTTAGTTGACATAAATTCAGTACCTCTGTCAGTTTGCAACTGACACACTTGTTGTCTGTACCTTCTCTCTACAAAACTTACCCACTGTTTGAATTGTTGTAGCACCTCTGTCTTTGCTCTAAGCAAGTAGCAAAACGAATAGCTGCTATAATCATCAACAATTACCAGTGCATATTTTGCTCCTCCCAAACTGACTTGCATAGGTCCCACCAGATCTGCATAAACCAGCTCTAGAACTCTTTTTGTTTGTCTTGTGCTATATTTACTAACTGGGAATGCCTTTGACTTCGATGCTTTGCATACTGCAGAGTCCAAATATGTTTTGCATCCCTTCAAATTTAGCTCTTCTGCAAAATCTTGCATTTGCTGCAAAACCTTAAAGCTTGCATGGCCAAGTCTTCTATGCAGAAGATGAACACGAATCATGCTCTGCAACATTCTTAAATATATGGGAACATTGAACCTTTTGTCCCTGCAATACATATAGATTATCTTCCTTTATGCCTTCTGCACAAATATTCCCATTCCTTTTGATGAGACACTTTCCCATTTACAAAAATGACCTCAAAACCTTGTTTGTCTAAATTAGACACACTTAACAAATTATGTTCCATCTCAGGTACACAAAGCACATTGGTAAACTTTGATTCCAAATATGGAATTTTTACATCGCCTCTTCCAATGACTTTTGCTTTCTGGCCATTTGCCAAAGCCACAGCTTCTTGTGCAAAATAATTCAAACCTGCAAAATAATTCAGAGTCATTAACAATTGTTTGACTTGCCCCACTATCAATTAGCCACTTGTCTCTGTTGTTGCTATAGCAAACTTTTGCAACTGTCAGAATCCAATTATATTTCATCATTAATTGTCAAATATAGAAACTCCCAATTCTGCCTTCTCTGGATTCTGCCATAAGAGGGAGAGAAGGGGGAGAACAAAGGGGCTTTATGGCCCTCACTTCCTTCAGTAGACTTCTAAGGAGCTGAATGTGTTTATTGCAACATCAAAGAGAGACTTTGAATGTAAATAGCATCAAAGAACCTTACCATGACAAAAGAGAGCTAATTACCTTTCATGTAGTTATCTGAAGTCTCCATACAGACGAAAGAAAGGAGCAAGGGGGTGGAATTGTGATGCCTGAAACTATCACTGGAAGGGGGGGTGATTGGGTGGGACTGCTGGGGAACCCCTAAAAACCTTGAATGGGAGAGCTTGGACCCCAAGTCCTGTCTAGCATGCCTGCAACCACTTCTTCTTAATAAAGGATTCCTGTTGGAAGAATTATTCCAAGACTTCTGTCTTCTTAAGATGCAAAGTGGGGTGGGTCCTTACAGCAACACCAAAATGTTCCTTTTGCAAAACAGTCCTTTTTCTTTGCACAAATGTCTTGTTCTGCAAATTGTTCCTTTGCAAACAGTTCCTTTGCAAATGTTTCTTTTTTCCACAAATGTAGCAAGTTTTTTCCCGCTCTCTGCTTGCTCTCTGCTTGCAAAATCTCTCCTTTGTTGCAATTTGGTCCGGGTCTGATCTGCTTGTTTCTTCTCCTCTGGAGACTTGCAGTCTGGACCCCCTCCTCAGGAAGTTCTCCTCCTCGTGGCTGCTTCTAAAATGGCGTTTTTCCTCTTCATTAAGCAAACATGCCTTTAAGCCTCAAAATTTAAGTCTTGTTCTTCTTTGCACTCAAATATTGCAGAAACTGTGTCCCAGGTTTTATCTAAACTGTTCAACACCAATAAAATCTTCTGGGACTCAGGGAATTTAATCCCACGTTGTTCTAAGTCCAAAAATAAACTTTGCATTTTATTTAAATGCTGTTCCACCTGGTTGCAAAAAGGCCCTGTAAAGTTTTCTTGACAATTGCACTATATTGCATGCAGAAACATTCACGTGCACAGCTCTCAATTTCAACCAAATCTCCTTTGCAGTCTTTAAATTTGCAACATTTAGAAATTGATCATCATCTAAATTCAAGATAAGATAAGCCATAGCTTGATCATGGCTTTTCTGATCTGCTGCCAGAAACACTTGTGATGGATTTTCTATAATATACCACTGCTCTTTAGCTTTCAGCAAACATTCCATTTTTGCAGCCCACACAATGTAATTCTTCTGGCCCAAACGAGGCACACAGCTTTCCTTAAATTCCATTTCAGCCATTCTGCTAATTCTGCCTTGTTCTTATACTTTCTAAACACAGGCAGTTTCTTCCAGCTTTAAATTACAATGCAGTCCTTAGTAAGCTCTGGGCCCATAATCTGTTAGAGAATTTTAATTTCTCTATTGGTGAAAAATAAATCAGAAGCTCTCACAGTTGACTGCATTTAGTTGATTCAAATAACTTTATATTTATATAAAAATATTTACAATACCATTCTTCTTTACAGCAACATAGCTTAATTGAAGACTTCTTACAGAGACAGACCAGAGACAGACATGAGACTGGAAATCCAGCTCCTAACTCAATACTCTTTTTGCACAGACTCAGTAGCACTTTCCTCACATTGGCTGACTGAGTTACCATATGACTCTTCCTGTTCATGAATATTCCAACAACATTTCACCATTAGATGTCCTCAGTGGATTAAAAAATCTTTTCCAGACACAATTTTTTCCTTTTTTCTAACTTTTAAAGGAAAAGGTGGAAAAAGAAATAATCTTCCAGTGTAAAATAATAGTACAGCTCTTAGAAAAGAGTTTTTCTGTACCCCAAAGTAAATGAGAGTAAAGTGTAGCCTTTAAAAAATTTTGTTCTATCCTTTTGTTCAGCGCCTTTTTTCCCACGCATACAAAAGCTGCTTTTTCAAGACAGGGAAATAATTCCAACAAAGCTTTTACAGGCAAAAAAAAAAAAAACAGAATAGGGTGAAGAGAGGAGCAAAAGGGGTCTCACCCGGATCATCCGCGGTGAGTCTATCATGCTTAGATGTAGCTGTGACTTTTGGCTGGTGCAGCAGAGTAATCGGCCCTCTTGCAGGATGATCTTTGCTCTGGCGGCCCTAAGGAGATAGCTGGAGCCATGAGAAAAGCTGCCACCCTCCTGCAGTCACCAACAAGCCTCCTCCTCGGTGGTTGCCCCTCCAGGGAGATTTTCAGCCTGCTAAGGGGTCTACTGGTGAAGAAAACCCGGCCGGTATGGAGACGAATCTCCAGACACGACCAGAGTCACCGCAAACCGGAACTGGAAGTCAGAAGGAGCCTTTTGTGTTGGGGGACATGAGTGCCTGGGGAGAATGCAGGAGGGAATCAAAGCCAGCTGAGGGACTTTAGCCAATCACTGAAGTTTTAATCCCACTTTCAAAATAAAGGTGGGACTTGGAGCCAATCATCAGGGGACTGAGTTCTAGTCCTGCCTTATGCATGAAAGTCAGCTGGCTCTGAGTTCTAATCCTCAGGCATGAAAACTTCCTGAGTGACTTTGGGACAATCACCGGGAGGCTCTTGAGTTCCAGTCCTGCCTTAGTCCTTTTTGATTAGGGGTGTGAAACTTGGAAAAACAGTCTCAGATTAATGTGGGATACCAGAATAAGGGATTCCTAGATAGTGAGATGGCTGAGTGTCCAATATTGTGTGATGTCATGGAGGAAAGTGAAATTGTGTGGAAACACAAATCTTTGCCTTCTGCTTGTGGGCAAACCAGAGGCATCTCTGTGTGGTCACTGAGAATCTTAGACTGATCTTGGTCTGATCCATCAAAGCTTTTCTTAGCTGCTTAAAACGGAATTTGCAAAGGGATTTGATCAGCAATTAGAAGCTATTCTGAAACCTCAGATTAATTACCGATTCATCAGCAATCTGTGTGGCCGGAAAATAGAATGGCTTCCATGGGTGCCTCTTCCTGCAAACCTAGATTTTCCCACCCTTATGCGCCTCCTTCTTGGACTGGATGAATACACAGCATTGAACGCTCCTGCTTCAGTCCAGACTACTCAGTCAATGATGCGGCTGCCTTCAGACAGGATCCCTTCAGTCTCCTCCTGGGGAAAGTCTCAGGGTCCTCTTTCCCTGCACCTCTTGTCCAACCTTGTCCAACCTTCCACAGTTTGGAAGAGGAGCAGAGAAATGCTTTCCGTACAAATTGCAGAGTGGAAAATTAAAGGGCCTGAAAACTGCTATGTTATTTCTCTGGTTGATGAAAAGGAAAATAAATACAGAGGAAATTCCTTTTAGGAACACACCAAAATAAAAACAATCCCAAGCTGAAATCCCAGACAGCTGTTCTGCTGAGCACTTTTTGCAAAGGAAAATCAAGGAAGAACTCTATAAGAAGGATGAAGATTTGCCTCACCAGCTGAACGCTGGTCCAACATGGCATTTTACATCATTTGGGGATTCTCATGGAGAAGACCAGGCAACCTGGTTGGTGCTTGGTTCCCCAACTTCCTTCTGACCTCTTTTTCTACTTGCTCTCTCTCACACAGACACTTTTAGCTGCTGTCAGTAGGAAAAAGTGCCCACATTATTTTTTATAAGGTGTCTCATTCAGTAGCAAATTCCTCTGAATGACTTTCACAGAGTTCTCTTTAGCAAGATTTATTGAGATGAAAAGGAAGGGAGCTACAAGAATTCCAGTCGTTCAACATTTTCCCATCTTGAAACACATAGATATGATTTTCTTTGACTCCTGAATACTATCTAAATGGAAAGAATATCTCCTTTCAAGTAAAAGGGATTTTAGAATTCTTCCAACATCACATGTTATACCTCATATTTTTACATTTATTCTAGCTGTAAGGTGCTCCTTTGTGTTTAGGTGTGGCCTCAGAAGGATAATGTAGCACTTGGGGATGAAGATGCAGACCAGCAGACCAGCACTGGAGGCCAGGATGGAGAAGATCTGCACAGCCACCATGTATTTCCCTTTGGTGCTCAGGTAGGTGGGCAGAAAAGTCACCCAGACACTGCAGAAGACCAGCATGCTGAAGGTGATCAGCTTGGCTTCGTTGAAGGCCCCAGGAAGATTCCTGGACAGGAAAGCCACTGTGAAGCAGATGGCAGCCAGGAAGCCCATGTAGCTGAGGGTGACATAGAACATGACAACAGCCTCTTCGTTGCATTGCAGGATGATCTCTCCAGGCTGGGAATAGAGGTCAGAGTCAGGAAATGGGGGAGAAACTCCCAGCCAGATGGAGCAGATGATAATTTGGACTGTAGAACAAGAAAAGATGATGGAGTTGGCCAAACTCTTCCCCAACCATCTCTTCACTTGGTTTCCTGGTTTTGTGGCCCGGAAAGCCAGCACCACTGTGATGGTTTTGGCCAAGAGAGAAGAAACGGCAACTGAGAAGATGATGCTGAACACCGTTTGTCGGAGAAGGCAGGTGGCTTTCCTTGGTTGACCAAAGAAGAGAAAAGGAGACAAGAAGCAAAGCAGGAGGGAGACCAGGAGAATGTAAGAGAGGTCCCGGTTATTGGCTTTGACAAGGGGAGTTTCTAAGTATTGAATGAAGATGATTAAGACAAGGCCTGTGGTTAGGAAGAAGAGTAGGGCAAAAGAGACCAGGATGATGCCCAGATGTTCTTCATAAGACAGGAAGGTTATCACTTTGGAGATACATTGGACTCTGTCCATATTTGAATATTTATCATCCGGACACTTGGTGCACTTTTCTGTATCTGAGAAAGTCAAAAACCAGTATTTCTTTAATATTCTGTTTTTTTACATTATTTATTTATTTATTTATTTATTTATGAGACTTATATACCGCTTTAAGTGCAAGCACTCTCTAAGCGGTGTACACCAGTAAGCAACGTATGTATATATTTACATTGCCCCCAACAATCTGGGTCCTCATTTTACCTACCTCGGAAGGATGGAAGGCTGAGTCAGCCTTGAGCCGGTGAGATTTGAACCGCTGACCTGTTGAACACAGTCAGCTAAAGTGGCCTGCAGTACTGTACAGTACAGAAATACCTTTTTTTTTTTTTTTGAGAAATATTCCAGGAACATTTTCCAAGATGTGTTACTTAACCATTCCACCAGAAAAAAAACTGATAATATAATTTTCTAATACCTATGTAGCTACAGTATCTGAAATTGGAGGATTTCTAATTCACTTTGAATAAACAAAAAAGAGTTGAGCTTCAAAGCATGTTTTTATTTGCACTTCCCTCAAAATGCTGTGGATAAATCCAGTTCCACAAAGCCTGATCTTTCTTCTGGTGTCACCTACTTTCCCGAGTGGAGATGGTCCCCTCCGGACAAGGAACACAGTCATAGCAGCAAACTGGCTCTCCTTCTCGCACCTGCTTAACAAATCCAGGATGACAATTTTCCACACATTTGGACTGAGGCAGAGACTAAACAGAAAAAATAGGAATGCCAAGAAAATAGGTTAGGACACACTATCCATGGAAAAGGAGAGGAGAAATGGACATTAGACAAGTAGATTCTGGGCTTGACTTAGGTGAACATGAAATCTCTGACTTCTTCCAAACAAGTGTAGGAGATGGGACCCTGGCAGATTCTTTCCTTAGTTCCTTCCTTTTGCTTCTGGCATAATACATTGCAATAAAGTCTTTTTCTACTTAATAAAATTTGGAGGGAGGGAATTGAGAAAAGAATTAAGCATTAAGTGACAAATAATCTGTTCCTCCTAATGATTGTATTAAAAGGCATTCCTCCACTCTTCATATATCCATGGCTATGATGATCTACTCGTATTAAATTTTTGAATAAAATTGTTGTCAAAGATTTATTAAGTTGATATTTTATTAGATTTATTTAAGTAGAATAAAATGTGATTAAGAAAGAAACTTCTGACCAGTAGGATCTGGAAAGGTTTCTTCTGGATTACACAAAGCCTTGCAAAACTGCTCCCCTTTGACACTCATTCAAAAGAGTCTCCCAGTTAAGACATAAAGGAAAAATGCCTCATGTCAACTGTCAAAGCTGTCAACTTTAAAGCAGATGTTCTTTCTTGATTTGCATTTTTATTTATTCAATTCATATGGCTGCCATGCTGCTGAAATAAGGTTAAAAGTGAGGGCTCCTTGGTGCTCTCTGAGCTTGCTTGTTTGCTTACAGATGTTTCATTACCCAAACTAGGGAACATCATCCATACTGGTCAGCTAGCACTGATGATGTTCCCTAGTTTGGGTAATGAAACATCTGTAAGCAAACAAGCAAGCTCAGAGAGTACAAAGGACCCCTCATGTCAACCCTGAACTACAAATATTCTCCTTTATTAAGACTAAAGGTTTCTGCATAGAATCTAGAACTCTAGTGAGATTGAGGTGAGATCATGAGAACGTGTCCCTGAAAAAGATTAAATCTTTGGCTGCACAGATGGGACCTGAGTGTGAGTCCTGTGTCAGAAGGAGATATTTCCTAGGCCCCTCCAGTTATCCAAGAAAAGGTCCTTTGTGTCAAAGAACTGAAATTAGGAGACTCCAACTGGCATGGAAAGGCAGACCCACATTTACTATTAGTTTAATTGGGAGACCTTTTTGTCCAGAGGGACTGAAGGAAGCTAAGACTCAGGATAATCAATGCTATTCAAGGAATTTTCAGATGAAGAGCCCTCTTAATAGCCAAAGGCCAAATCTAAGTAGCCTTTCCTGTCAAAATCTCTCTCCCGATGTCAGGAAGATCTTTTCTTTGAATCAAAGTTGTGTTTCAGTGTTTCAGATTTCTGGTTCAAGGGATTATGTGAAGTGAAAGTCTTGGACCTCCTTCCTGGGGGCAGAAGCCCAATTGCTCCCCCCAACTGGGTGAAAGACAGATATGGCTAACTTTGATCAGATCATGGACCTGCCCTTTCAGGGAGCCATTTCCCAATGGCCTCTCCCTAAGCAGGACAAGATGAAGCTTCTCTCCCAATGGGGCCACCAGGAGCTCCATCCAGTCATGATTCAATTTCATCCCATTCAGTCCAAATCTCAATTCAGGGACTGTTCATCAGAATTCCCTCCCACTTTGCTATTTGAGGACAAGAAACAAGCAAATTTGAGGCTATTAACAACAAATCCTCCAGCACTTGAGGATTTCTCATCCCAGGTTGGACATGGCTGAATCAGCTAAAAACAGTCTTCAGTGTTACAGCAGCTGAAGAACACCTTGGTCAATAGTACTGAAGCCTCCCAAGTGGTCTATAGAAAGAAAACTGTAAGGTTTCTACTCCCCATGTTCAATTCTTAGTGAAGGTCATTGACCCTGGTAAATAGCCTTAGTCCACATGAAATGGATCCTAAATCTTTGGAAAAAAGAGGGAAGTCACCAAAATTTCTCCCACCTTGTTGAGCAGCTTTAGCTGTGAAAGAGCATCTTCGTTGATAGTAAGTCTCCGTCTTTCCAAAGTCCCCATTTGCTGCTCGATGGGATCCTCCTTGGGGAGAATCAACCAGCTCAGGATTCCCAGATCTGCTGCTACATCTCCATTTTGATCCAAGTACAGTTTATTATGAGAAATATTGCAAAACTCATTCTTCTGCAGGAAAGGATGGAACTACAAGGGGAACATCCAGGAATTTTAAAATCTGAAACCCTTTTTTAAAAATCCCATTTAGCCTTTACACATTTGAATCTTTCTTCTGCAGTTGTCTAACATCAAAATATGCTCATTTAGAAAAACAGGTGCTTCTGCTATCTTCATAAATAAAAAATAAAGGTTCAGCAAAATTTCTCAACCATATACTGGCAAGATATATATTAATAAAATATATTTTTTGCAATTGGTAATTTAGGAAACATTCTAGAGCAGGTGACAAAAAAATGAATCATAGAAAAAAAAAGAGATTATTCATAAATGCCTAGAAAACCTCAGGCTGATTAGGAGAAACTGTTCATTTAGTGACCGTGCAAAGTTACAAGGGCACTAAAAAAATGAATTATCATTTTTTTATCATTATCATCCCAGGGTCACGTGATCAAAATCAGAATTCTTGGCATGTACTTATGATGGTTACGGTGTTTGAGGGTCACGTGATCTCCTTTTGGGGCTTCTGACGAGCAAAATCAACAGGGAAGCTGGACGCACTTAACAACCGTGTTATTTGATTAACAACTGCAATGATTCACTTTACCAGAAAAGGCAAGAAAGGTCGTAAAATGGGGCAAAACTCAACAACTGTCTTGCTTAGCAAGAGAAATTTTGAGCTCCGTTGCGGCCATAAACCCAACACTGCCTTGTGCAGCCTCTTCCAGCACCCAAGGGAAGCTGCAGAGAAGCTCAAGGTCTCTTCAGCGCTGTTCCAGAGGGAGGGAAATGGGGAAAGGAGCACAGCCATAAGAGAGGAGATTCCGGCTGAAGGAGAGGAAGAAGCTCCGGAGAGGAGGAGCCGTTTCAGAGCTGAGCCCTTAAAGCAGATGAGCACAGCCTCCCCTTCACTCATGACGCAAAGACTGAGCAGCCATCAGTGGGAGAAGCTTTAAGTGGGATTCCTGTAGAGAGGAGGGTTGGGCTAGATCAGTATTGGCGAACCTATGACACGGGTGCCAGAGGCGGCACTCAGAGCCCTGTGAGCACGCGCGCCATCATCCCAGTCCTAGACCTTCAGCTGGGTTTTATAAAACCTTTTTGCTTTAGGCCTCCGCCGCCGTGTGCAAAAAACCCAAAAGGTTCAATCAGTCAATTTCAACTTCTCGCGGGGAAAAAAAGATCTTGCAAAGTTGGAATTGATTGATTCAACTTTTTAGTCTCACCCAGTCTGCCGTTACCACTGCAGCCATGCCCACCCAATGGGCCACGCCCACCCAATGGGCCACACCCACCCAATGGGCCACACCCACCCGGCACTCAATGATGCATAAGTGGGTTTTGGGTTGCAGTTTGAGCACTCTGTCTCTAAAAGGTTCGCCATCACTGGGCTAGATGGTCTCAGGGTGTCCTTCAAAGTTACAAATGTAAAATTCTACTATGCTAATCACAAACCCATGAAGACATGAATATATTTAAAAATGCATACACCCTTTTAAAATTAGTAATGTTTAAAACCAAAATTTATCTGTTATGGTGCCTGCGGTGTAGAATATTGTGTCTCTAGCAATTAGATTGGCCAAACCTGTTGATCTTTTGCAGCATAAGAAGGTTGAGACGGTTCCCCTCCTTCTCCTCTGGATTCCCTCTCCAAAGGAACTGAGATTAATGGATCCACTTCGGGACCCCCATACCTGCCATGGCTGCAGCCTTGGAGCCCCCAATGTCTCTTCACTCTTCTTCCTTCTCCTCCTCGATCTGGAGGAATAGGCGGCATTCAAGGCCTGGGCCAGAGTCTTCATGATACTGTAATAATGGTAGTGATTTCTGATCCTTTCCCTGTCCCTTTTTTCCTGGGTCTCCAGTGGGGCTTTCTGGGTGCATCTTCTCCGGCCTTTGACAGAAAAGAGGTGCTTGGAAAGAGAGCAGCGGAAATAATGATCTTGAAAGGGATCTTCCACAAAGAAGTAGGGTTCAAAGGCATCATCCCTTGGCCTCTCACTTGGCAGAAAAGTAAAGCTCCAAATACTATGGATGTATTTGTAAAGTCTGCGCTTTTTCAATGTGTATTTTCCAAAACCTGTACCAATCCAGACTTTCCCTTCAATGCGGCCTGTCAAACGCCTAAGTGCCAAATGGAAAGGAAGAATTATGT